CCCCAGTTTCCTTGTTTCTCCCCTGCTCCCGTCTCCCCTTTTACCAGTTAGGGTTTCCACAAGTCCTGTTTTGCCATCTTTCCGTCTTGGCCTGCCGTCAAGACTTCCTCCACTTCCCCAGCCAGAGGTGGCGCTACTTTTAACCTTTTACCGTGCCCTTTTTGCGCATGTGCAAATTCGTGGCCTGGCAGCTTTCTTCCTAACTTTGCTTGCTTTTCCTCATTGTCTCCCCACTTTCCCTGCCCTTTCCGTCGCGTTGTCTACCTTGTGACGCCTCGCACCCCTCCCTTTGGAGTAACCGTCACACATCTGTCTGGAATAAGGAGCGGAGAGACGGAAGAAGGGCCTTCAAAAGTCTCACCAGAACCACTAGAACGAGGTCTTCTATGGATCGCAAGGAAGGACGACTACATAACTAAACGCCTCCCGAACATAACAAGGTACGGATTATTTGGACAGTGAGGGCGCTGCACCAGCCGCCGATCCCTCGGCATGGGTTGCTCGATCTAGCGACTCGTCCTTACCCGTTCCTTACTTTTGATTTTTTTGTGATCGTTGTATTCATGTGCTTGACTCCTCTTTACTCCTTGCTTTAACATCTTTGGTCGGCGTGGCCACGCTCGCTCTTCTTCGCTCACTTCTCCTCTCTATTTATTCTTATTCTTATGTTCCTTTTCTTTCGCTCTCGAGGACGTCTTTTCCACTCTTATTCCTGTTCCTCTCTGCGTCCTCTTTTTCACAGACCCCGCCGGCGAGATGCGACGAAGAATATCCCCAGTCCGCCACCGGCGCTACTGGACGCGCCCGGGCGTCGTTGTCATCGTCCTCCTTGCTGTTTGCTACTACTTCCTCCCCTATGACAGCACATTGCGGCTATCCGTGCGCTTCAACTCACAACGCGTTGTGAACACATTTGCACAGCCCCCACAATCCCTTGAAGCCTGGACTCTTGCGCCATTAGGGAACGCGACAAGCCCTTCGAACTCTTTACCGGCAAGCGGACGTTACCTCCCCGCCCTCTATGACGATGTCGGTGTCATCCTCAAGACCGGCTATGGCACACAGCATCGTGTGGGCGCCCAGATCGAGGCTCTCGGCTTGCGGCCACACACAGTCGATGGCAACAATATGATTGTGATTGGGGATTGGGCGGGCGAGGTTGTTTACGGAGACAAGGGTGAACAGATCTTTGTGCACGATGTCATTGCACCGGTCCTTGAAAGCGGCATCCTGGGCTCGCGAGCAAACTGCGCTCGGGCGGAGAAATACCGGGCACTGGCCGCGGCAGTACATGCCGGTGATGACGTGGAGGCCATGCGGATCAGCAAGTCAGACGGGTGGGAACTGGATGCTATGAAGGTGAGGACACGGGACTCTAGTAGTTTCGGTTTTTTTTTTTTTTTTTTTTTTTTCCTTTTCAAGACTAACATGCGTCACCTCAGTTTATACCCGGCCTTGAACTCGCATACCAGACCATGCCAAACAAGAACTGGTACCTCCTACTCGACGATGACACGTTTGTGATTCCGTCATCATTGCGCCTTCTGCTTGCACATCTCGACCATTCCGTACCCCACTACATCGGTAATGCTGTTGGTGATTTCCGGGGACGGTTTGCTCATGGTGGTTCGGCGATTGTCCTCTCGCGGGAAGCCGTCACTCTGCTTTTGGGGAGCGGCAGCAGTCGAGTACTAGCGGTGGCGGCAGCGGCAGCGGCCTCGAACAGACAGCAAGGCATCACCACCAATTCTTACAAATCTGGTCTGGCTCCGCCACTTTTACACCAGGCATATGTCGATTCCATAACGGAAACTTGGGGTGACAAACTGCTAGCAACCACATTGATGAGGGTCGGCGTGTATCTTGACGAGCGGTTTGCTCGTCTGTTCAACGGAGCGCGCCCTCGTGCCACGCGCATAAGTGCTGACCGGTTCTGCATGCCGCTCGTGTCGTTCCACGCGCTCGCAAAACCAGAACAGATGCGAAGCGTTGGCGCCGTGTTTCGGCAGATCGACCCCGGCCAGCGCGGTGGTACGCCTAGCGACGCTACGTCTCCGGGTTTCCTTGCTCCGCCCATAGCCTGGGGTGATCTCTGGGCCCTCTACGGACGGCCCACGGTGGCAGCACTGCACCACCAGCCGATCCACCGTGGACGTGATTTTGTTGGTGCCCCTGGCGATGACTCGTCTTCGTCGGCGCTCGTGGCGTCCGTCACCGAGAATGTCGGCTCGCCCGAGGCATGCCGAGTGCTGTGTGCCGGCGACGATGGCGAAGGCGATGATGCGATGGGCGCCGATGGCTTCCAGAGGCGCTTCGCCGGCCTCTACTCGTACAACAGCAAGTGTCTCGCATGGACATGGAACGCCGGCGAGCAGACGTGCACCACCAGCCCCTGGTTTGTTGTTGGTGAGGACGAGAGTACAGGCGTCGCACCCCCCTCGACCGAACCAGCATCGTCAACGACCGAGACCACGTCGACCAAGTATTCGGGTGTCAACGTGGCCCTATTACGGCAGCTCGTGGGGCGATGTGGCCAACGCGACGGCGTGTCGTGGACTGAGCGCGGAGACAAGTATGAATTTCGCTACAACCCCAGCGGCACCCTGTGATCGGTGCTGTCGGTGTCTCGGAGTCGTCAATTAGCGGCATATTGATTCATTTTGTTTACCGTGTATTTTTGAAATCTTAGCGGAGCATCTATGGGGTGCTTTTGGGGTGCTTCTGGGTATTTATGGTCTCGGTCTTAGTACATATATTTTTGGATACCCCGATTTGGGCCAGCGTATGGTAGTAATAGAAAACAATTCTTTGTAGTGGTATACGAGGAGGAAGTTGTTTCCTCATGCAGTCGTCTCGTGAACAACATAAATCCCACACCTCTTCGCTGCACGAACTGATGATCAGACATGTGCTGTTCGTGTAAAGCGACCAACGACGAGAGCATACAAGTGGCCACCATGCTCCATTATTTTCATCCTCATTTTGTCAGATATCTCATTGACAGCCAATCCGTTGCCAGCTTTGAAATCGCAACTCAGAACTACCGAGAACAACTCCAATGTCTTTGGGCATCTTGTCGTTATACGCGCGATTGGTGGCTTGCTTGGTCCGACAGCATCATGTGAAAACACCAACGGTTCTCCAGCTGATTGCTCTCCACAATAGTCTATTGTTAGGTCCTTGATGCCTTACTTCACTCGTCCATATCGCGTATGCTATCTGCGATAGCGACTATTAGACGCAACCGCCGTCGCTAAAATCACCGATGGAGACCGCTGTAAATGCCAGCCAGCTACCTATCGACAGGGCTTGGGCGGTCGTATGGACGTGACAATCGAATTCTGAACAGGCACAGCTACCAAGCTGTGTTCTTTTTGCGTCTTTTGATTAAGCTTTCCGAGAGCATCTTGTCTGTCGAGCTCTGACGTGTTACCGTTGCAAAGAGGGATGATGCCTTGCTCCGCTGGGCAGTCCGTAGCCGGACTTGGAGCGCGAGCACGCGGTCGATGAAATTGCACCTGCTTTTCTTAGAAATCGTGCCCACATAACTAGCCAAACATCGTTTTCGACATTGGGGGTATTTAGGGCTCTTCAGGTCGTGTTTGTGCCATCCAGCTTTTGTATCGACAGAATACAACGAAGGCGACTAAGAAGAACCAGCTGAGTGTTCAGGGACCACGATCGACTTGAAATCAAGAGAGAACACGGCACACATTGGACAAGCTTTAGAGGGAAGCAGTCATACGAACTTTCGAACTAACAGGGCCAGGACGACTGCGACTCCAGTGCAAGGCTGAATAAAATCGCAACATCCTTAGCCATGTCCTAGTTGGAGCTGGCATCTCTGATCAAGCCAAACAAGTTGCAATGTGGGGCGGTGAACCGCCAGCCTTAGAAAGCTGGGCCTGATAATGGCCCTAGAGTCACAATCTAATAAAGTCGCAGGTACGCATTCAGACTGACCGGAGAGTCGGATTAGATAGCACCACAAACTGGCTGCACGATCATTACACTGGCACCGGCAATCTTATTTTACATGAACAACCTTCTCCGCTAATGTGGCCAGTGACTGTCACCGACTTCCGACGCTGTACACGCTTTCTTGGTAGCATCTTGGGCCTACGCGATAGCCTATGCCGCCCATGGCTCTTTCCGACACCGTGACAGCCCCCGTCCCCGCTTTCCCTTTCTGCTACAAGTATTTTCTTCACACGAAGGTAGCCCTGTGCTCATTCTCTCCCAATTAGGCTGGCCATCGCATGGCAGGTCCAGCATGTTATACCTGTCAGCCAATTACGAAGAACAGCGGGGTGCCAGGTGCATCGTTGCATCCGGGCTCCACCCGTCGTTGCGCCCTGCTTCCTATTCCAGGGTTGTTCTCGCAAGCAAGCGCTGCCGTATTTCGGCCGGCCATTGACGGTTTATGGTCAGAACCAATGCAAGCGCCGAGGCCCTAAGCAGGCCCCAAGACACCAAGTCACCAACGAGTCTTTCACCTCTTCGGCGGTGTCTCTCTGCATCTCCACACAATGCATCGACGAGAAGCGGCGACGACACACCGTCGACAACAGCCACGGTACGGCCGCCTGCATGCAGCACGCACCCGTGTTACAGGCTTGGATACGTGCCTCTTTCAGATACATATAGTCCCTCCAGGCTGGCCGGACCCATTTGGCCACTGCACTGACTGCCATTCAGGCCACTGGAGGTTATCGGTAATCTCGTCTCCTACGTAGGGCTCCTCTTTGGTCGTTTCCCAGCCTTGTTCGTTGCTGTTGCAGTTTCATTCGTATCGATCGGCGGCGGAACGAGCTGAAAGAGCCGAGAGATCGAGCGGAACCAAGAAACGAGCACCCGACCAACCATACCGCGAGCTGCACACCCAAAGGGAAGGTGAGTACACGTTGCAGACTCTTCAGCCGGATGCACCTTTCGTGGATAGAAAATATACACACTAGAGGCACGGTACTTCTATACCAGCGCGCCCCCTGGCAGCAACCATGACTACACGCTCTCGCAAGGGCTGTATCGACTGCAAACAGGCCAAGATCAAATGCGACGAGGTCCACCCCGCCTGCGGCACCTGCATGCGCCGCAGCCGGAAGTGTCGAGGCTATCTGGACACCACGGGCAAAATTCTGAGGGGACCCGGCGGTGCTACCAGTCTGGCTGGCAGCAGTCTCAACAACGCCAACAGCCACCACAACCACCACAACCCCCTGCAGCCCATGGCCCAGACGCCGTTAAGGGCACGTCGTGACAGTCATCTGGGAGTGGGGGGGATGGAAAGTCCTGGTTCTTCTGTGGGTGCTGGTCGGTATAACGGCATCGGTGGCAGCGGATTGGCACTGTCGCCGACCTCGCCCTACATGCCTTACGCCCGTCCACGCGCCCGGGGTATAGCTTTCATGTCGTCCGTGGCGCCAATGACCATGAATACCTCGACCATTGTCGTCTCCATTCTTCCGGAGACCATTGCTACCGCCGCACAAATCGCCGATGACCGTTCTGCCGACATCCCGTGGGCCCCAATCGAGCTGCCTGCTATCAACGTCACCACGCCTGATACCGACAACCCCTACAGCCAGCCGTCTCCTGCCCCAATTACGGGAGGCTTTTTCCCGGGCAGCCCTTTCACCACAATGGCCCATGTCACATCATCAAAGACGCCGGGGCCCGTGGTCTCCATCATGATGGGTGGTGGTTTGAACTGGTCCCACATGCTCCCGCCAGCACATCACACAGGCAATGCTGCATCACCCTCTTCAACATATCACCACAATAGTGTTGGCCTGGACGGAAGCATCGTCCACAGCGCCTTTCTCGACGCCGAACGGAGCGGCACCGTTGACGGCGAGCGCGTCACTCCTGACGCCGCCAACCTTGTTGCAAACCATGCTACAAGCCGTGTCACACCACTATCTCTATCGCCGGCATTGTCCTCTGACAGTGGAGGTTCGTCTGAAAACAGCCGGTCTCTTGTCGGCCCCAATGGACGTCGCCTGATCGGCCCTGCCGCCGCCGCCATGTCCAGAACACCCGTGCTCGACGTTTCTAGCTTTTGGTCGCCACCAACACCCGCACCCGTCCGAGGCCCCAGCTTCATGCCGCTCAACGGAATCCTTGCCAAAGACAAGCCCTTCATCGAGATATACTTTCTGCGCCATCCTACTGAGATGGTCATGAATAACAGCATGTTCATCAACGAGATGAACGGCGCCGTACTGTCACTACTACAAGTCAGCCCCATTGTTGTCGGCGATTCTTTGTGTGCCATTGGCGAGAACTACATCAAAGAGATGGCCGGCGACAATCCCGATAGCAACATTGCGTCGCACCGCAAGGCCCGCCTGCTGAGCCGCCTGCGCCTGCTCAACGAAGACGGTACTAGCCCTGAACTGGTGCTGCTGCTCCTCCTGGCGCTTTGCGGCGCCGAGCTGACGAACCCCAACTCCGATGGCAAGGCCAGCTCGCTGCCGTCGCTCATCGAAAATGTCGCCATGATCCTCGAGTTTCACACGCGTGCCGGCCGCGAAATAAGCACAACGGCAAAGTACTTCGCCAAGGGTGTCGCACGCCAAGACCTGCTGCACTCGCTGTCGCGCATGCAACGACCAAAGATACAGCCTTCGACCTGGCTCGACGATTACGCTATGCGCCACGCAGACCGCCTCTTCGGATTAACCGCGACTCTGACGCCTATTTTGTACAAGCTGGCCGAGCTGGCGGGCGATGTGCAAGCCATCCTGAACAACGATGCTTTCCACCGAAGCACGGGCGGCATTCCAGCGGCCGCTGTGGTTGCCGCTGCTGCCGCCGCGGGCACCTCCCACAGTAGTCACCATCAGCACCACGACCCGAGTCTTCCCTCCGTGGCGACTACGGCATCCGGTATTGGTGCGGCCGATCTCGACGATGACCGGCTTTTCGGTGACGGTAGCAGCGCCTTCTTCGCTGAATCAGCTACTGGCAATGGCCCGCTTCATCTCACTCAACGATCCAACCTCGCCGAGCGCGAAGCCACCATCCGCGCTCAGCTCCTCATGTGGCGCCCCGTCCACGATAGCTCTCTGTCCATCCAGACCTCCCGCACCCTTCTTTTGCACGCTTCTGCCTGGCGTGCAGCCACTTTGCTCTATTTGTACCGCCTCTTCAACCGCCCCGGCTCCTCGCGCGAGGGCGACCGGATCGCCCTCTCCATGGCTTACGAGGTTATGTTGCACATCAACGGCCCTGCTGAAGACATCAAGCTCTCGCTATGGCCGCTGTTTGTCGCCGCCTGCGAGCTTGACCAGCCTGAGGACCGCGCACTTGCAGCCACACTGTTTGGTGAAATGTGCCAAGCACGTCCTCTGATGACGGCACGTCGCACTCGCGAGTTTGTCATGGATCAGATCTGGCTGGCGCGCGACCGAGGGGAGGTATGGGATTGGATGCAGCTGACGCAATGCGGCCAGTCCAACGTTTTTATGCCGTTGTAAATTTGTTACTGTTTGTTTGTGTTGTCCTTTTTTTTTTTTTGCTTTTTGTTTTTCTATGAGCTGTGACGATTCATATGCCTGTACGTCATGTTAAGATCTATACCTTATGAGCCTTCTTTCTTTTTGTACATATTATCTAATATGTTATTACTTAATCAAACCACGTTCTGGATATAAATTATTACATTGTTTTATTTTACTTACCATCTTCTTCCAATGGATGTGCTTTCTATATCCTACCTCTCCCATCTCCCAAGCCTCTAATTTCAACAAGTTGCACACGACATCCATCACCGGCGTTTCCACACCGAGCCGGCGAGCCACCTCGAGCGGGTTGCCCAGGATGACCTCAAGATTTATTAGTCGGCCGTCCTCCAGATCCAATAGCATACAAGTTGCGGACACCACGTCGGCTGATCATGCCTTTGGTACGTCAAAGGACATTGCGAGGGGTGGTTTTCTGGCACGCATGAAGGGCCAGAGATGGACCTCAACGGGCTCGGTAAGGAATCCTTCCAACAGTGGTAGCAGCACGAAGAAGAGCAGCTCAAGCGAGACTCAGCCAAGGTTCGGAGAGAGCAAGACTTTATTGTCCTGCCGATGGTAACATACGCCACACAACATGACACTTTTGCTTCATTTCCTTCAGTGCGAAATTCTTAACAGACAAGCTTCACATTTGCACGGAGTAGGTACCATCTAAACATATTTTCATTGGACATGGATTATTGTAAATACCGCCATAAATCCAAAGAGCAGGCTTTACCAAAACCAGATCTCATGCACTAGTTCACCCATAATTCAAAATTCACATATAAAGAAGTCTTCTACTTCGCATCGCTATATAATTTTAGTTCGTATCAAGGTATTGCCGGCATATATATATCTCTTTTTATCGCAGTCAGTTCACATAAAATACACCACCTAGCTCAGACGTCGTGTAAGCCTGTAGCCAATCGGGAGCCGCCAAATTTGCCTCAGCATGTCAGGTGACTTCCCGCGCAAATAATTCCAACTCTGACGTCAAGGGACGTACACTCGTGGCTGTGTCGCAAGTGGGAAACCCCACCACAATAGACCCACAACACCTGCTTCAGTGATGCGCAGCACACATTCCAGGTCCTGCCCCGGATTCGGCTGTTCCAGTTGTCTCAGTCGCAAATTCGCTGGTCGCCAACCTTGTTTTGTCAGGTATCGTCGTCATCGCCACCAGTCCTATTTGATGTCTACTTCTATCTCGTCCTTTCCATTTCAATCGTCACAGATTTTTTTCTTTTGTGTCTAACTAATTTCACTCACACTTCTGTTCGATTTTCAGGCACTACTTAACTGCCCTTCCACCTCCTCACAGGCCTTCATCCGTACCTTCCTCACGCGACAATACTGACGACGTGCTCCACGTACGTACACCGCCGAACCCACTTTACGATCCGCTCTTCCTTCCCTGCAGTACCACGCGCGACCAGCCACTACCAGCCAAGCAACCAACCGCTAAAACACCGTCCGGAGTACTGCATTGTGCTCCGTGGGCTGCTGTCACCGGCTTAGCTGCTGTCACTGTCACTGGCTTCTTGGACTGATTCCTAGAAGCATTGTTTAGCTCACGTCCTGTTCCCCTCAACAAAAAAAATCGTCACTCCGAACCAATTTAAGGTCATTGCAACTCTCAACATCTTGTCACGAAATCGTTTTCCACCGAGCCTCACCAAACCCAGTTACCTCCTTTCATAATATGGATACGTCTCAGCAATCCCCTGCGGCCCAAGCAAGCGGCAGTAGCTGGACCTCGTTCGTCAAGGTAAGCAATGCGCCCCCGCCCTGTATAGGACCTGCCATCCTACGACATACTACGACTTCATTTTGCTAACACTGAAACCGTCGTCACAGTCCATCGCATCGTTCAACGGCGACCTCTCCAGTCTGACAGCCCCGCCTTTTATTGTCTCCGCCAAGAGTCTGACCGAGTTCAGCTCATATTGGGCCGAGCATCCCGCCTTGTTCTCCGCCCCCGCCCACGAGCCCGACCCGGAGAAGCGTGCTGTCCTGGTGCTCAAGTGGTTCCTTGCCTGCCTCAAGCAGCACTATGCCAGCCGCAGCGAGCAGTACGGCAATGAGAAGAAGCCGCTCAACCCCTTCCTCGGCGAGCTGTTCCTCGGCACGTGGGAGGACGATGCTGCGTCCCCAGAGGCCCCCAACGGCTCTGGTACCACCGAGCTGGTCAGCGAGCAGGTTAGCCATCATCCACCCGCCACCGCCTATAGCATCACCAACGTGCCCACTGGCGTCCACCTTGAGGGCTACAATGCCCAGAAAGCCTCGTTCAAGAGCACCATCATCATCAAGCAGATCGGCCATGCCGTCCTGACTGTGCCCGTTCCCAGCAGTAACGGCGGCACTAGCGATGCTGAGCCCGACAAGTACCTCATCACTCTCCCCGGCCTGCACATTGAGGGCCTCCTGTTCGGCGCGCCCTTTGTCGAGCTCGATGGCTGCTCCTACATTACGTCGTCCACTGGCTACACGGCCCGCATCGACTACAGCGGCAAGGGCTGGCTCAGCGGCAAGAAAAACAGCGTCACCGCCGTGCTGTACCCGACCGGCCGTGAGAAGGAGGTTCTGTACAACGCGTCGGGCCAGTGGACCAAGGCGTTTTCGATTCACAAGGGCCCTGCGAAGTCCAACAGCAGCAGCACTCTTGTCACCACCTTCGAACCTGCCCAGTCCCCGACTCTGCCTCTCCACGTGCAGCCGATCGAGAAGCAGCATCCCCTTGAGAGCCGCCGCGCGTGGCGGAATGTCGCTGCCGCCGTGGCCAAGGGCGACCTCGACACGCTGAGCGCTGAGAAGACCAAGATCGAGAACGCCCAGCGCGAGATGCGCGCCAGCGAAAAGGCCGAGGGCCGTGTATGGGAGCGCCAGTACTTCTCTGTCGTGCCAGAAGGCGAGTCCGACCCTGTCCTCGATAGCCTGGCTGCGAATGTCGGGCTTCACCCGAACGGTGATAGTGACAAAACGGGCGGCCTGTGGCGGTTCGACCGTGCCAAGGCAGAGGCGGCCAAGAAGGCGGCGCCGCTCACCGAAGCCGAGGCCAGCAAGATGGCCGAGGAGTTCCTTGGTCAGCGTGAATAGGAGACGCGTAATATCACCCGTCAGAAAGCGTATTAATTAGGGCTCGCATGAAGTGTACTAAAAGCATACGTAGCAGCGCTTTTTTGCATAATTGGGTTTGGCATAAGTATATGTCTTGGTTTGATCGTATCTTGAGTTTTATTTTATTCAACTTTGAAACATGGGTGTAGTAATTTTTATTGCTAATGCCAATTTGTTTTGCGCGTTACTTTACTAATAATCAAGAAATCGATTAAAATTGAGGCGCAATATATGTCTTGTCCTTTCATGTCAGCATTCTTTTTATTCTTTGGTGTTTATTAATGCATCGCATGCCAAGTCGCTTCATGAATCGTACAGTTAATAATGGCTGATCTGTCCCTGATGAGACCCGAGTCAGTAGCATTACGAAGATTGAGAAATAGGAAACTTGATGGTTACAATACGACAATTTGCTCTAGTACGTAAATTGCTCGGCTTGAAAGTGGTTACAGACACCATTCTAGATGACGATTTTGCGCGAAATGGGTGGAAGTGAGCTCTATACATGAAATGGGAAGAAACGAGGAGTGCTTGGCCTCTCTAAAGATTAGCACAGTCATGAGCATGGCCTTTGCGGCGCTGCCCGTGAGCGCAGTTATCCTGTGCTTGTAGCTGTTGTCGAATATGCGGTCGACCTACCTTATAGGAGCATACTAAGCAAGCACATCGTGAACGACAAAATCTAGGAAAAGCGTCAGAAACCTGCATTTTCCAGTGTCATCGTGTCTGGCACTCTCATAGGCACCAGCCTCTTATGGTAATACCAGCAGCCGATCTCACGAGCTCTTGAAAACGATGAACAGGCAGCATCGTTTCAAATACTCAAATTCGCTGGGTGAGACGCCGAAGTGACAAGCTCCATAACAAAGAGGAAGAAATGTAGATAGCAGCAGAAGGCCCAGTTATCGGACGGTACATAAAAGCAACAAACGCAACCGCAGCGCCGATTATGCTATATTGTGACTCGTTTAATGCAAGCGGAAACCAAACAGTTTGCCATAAAAGAACAAGAACAACAAAAATCAGGTTAATATCCATACAGAAATGTAAATGAACAAGAAAGAGAAACCAGTCCGAATGTGGCAAGCGACTCTATCAAGTTCTATTCTCAGCCCATGTAAGCGTCCCGTTCCAGTTCGTAGAAGAGTAGGTATACCTCACGCTGCATGCCAAGAACCTCTTTCGTGCTGGCCTCACGCACTTTCTCGTCACTGATCCGCCACCATCGGTCCGGCGACTTCTTCTTTTTAGGTCGAGGTTGGAGCGCAGGGTTGGATGCTGTCGAAGGTGTTTTCTCTTTGCTGGCCGCGCCGTTACCGCTACTGGTGGCACCATTGATTGTTGCAGAGCCATCCTTGCTCCCGGGGCGCAGCGCGAGACGCCCGGTGAGTCCCCCATTACGGCTTCGACTGCGACTCCCAGCACGGCTGCTAGTGCGACTTTCGTTTCGAGACGAAGACGTGATTCTGGAGAGGGTCGATCGAGTGATGGACCGCAAGCTTGCCGTTTCTCCGGCCGAATCATTATTGTTGCTGCTACCATTACTGTCTTCTTCCTTGGCAAGTGCACGAGGAGCCGAGGTAGGAGCTCGTGGCAAAGCGCTTGATGACGACGAGCGGTCGCGCAAGCTTGAAGGTCGCGATGTCCTACCAATTGCAGCATTTGTTTTGGGGGGTAGAAAATTTAGCTGGTCGTGTGGTATGTGACTGCCGTTCGTTTCGACGGCTGCTGATTGGGGCAGTTCTGCCGTAGAAGAGACCGGGCTACCATTGTCCACTAGTTGAGCCGATGATGGTGAGCTGATGCCAAGCGAAGCATCTGAAGAACCGATTTTTGGTGTTGTCGCCACA